ACTTCGGCTTCTTCGTCTCGATGTCCTGCATCACCTCGCGGCGCTTCTTGGGCGATCGCAAGTCGTCGCCAAATTCCAGCGAGTAGCTCCGTATGGTCGGGAGCCACTGCTTTGCAGCCTCCTTGCGCACCGCCTCCTTCGTCGTGAACACCTCCGCGATCCACGGCCGCGCCCCGGTCTTCTCGCTGACCGCCGCCTCGCGCTCGGCCCCCCGCGAATCGAAGGCGGGCCCGGACTCCGTCAAGTGGGCCTCGGGCTTGGTGTTGATCACCTGCAGGTCGCGCTGCAGGGGGCGCAGCTGGTCCTTCGCCAGCGTCTTGGCACCGTTCTGTCTCCACCGCCGGAGTCAGGCCGACCTGGTCCGCAAAGTTCACCTCCTTCGCGACCTTCAGCGGCGTCGCCGCGCCCGCCATAGCGGCGCCGAACAGCCACGTCGACAACGCCGAGGGTCCTCGAGCTGCGGGGCGCGCTCGATAATCGAAAGGCGGCGGGCGCGTCGCCGCGCCGCCGGCCGCCGGGCCTCTCGAGCCCGACCGGGCTCGCACGAACGGCACCTCGTCGTGCGCGCAAGCTGCGTCCTTCAGCGCCGGTATCGCCATCAGCTCCGGGTCGCCGTCCGTCGGGACCTCGCGGTCGCGGGCGCACTCCACCAGCTCGCTCTTGTTCTTGAGGCCCAAGGGAGGCAATGCTCGCATGCGCCTCCTCGTCGCGCTTGATTCCCACGAGCTCGGCGCCCACGGGGCCAGGCTGCCTTGCCTGCTGGCCCAGCGGGGCCTGAGGCCCCCGGCGAAGCGCCCACCCTCGCGAGCGCCTCACCTTCTCCCTGCGTCCTCGGCCTCTGCTTCGCACTGGCCTCCATCAGTCGGTCGATCAGCACCTCGATGCTCGCGTGCCCCGCTCGGGCGATCTCCAGCGCCTCAGCCATGTCCACCAGCGCGCCCCGGGGAACACGGAGCAGCTGGTCTCGATCGCAGAGCAGCGGCCGTTCCTCCGACGAGGTCGGCCTCGGCCTCTCGGGCCCCGACCCCCAGTAGAGCCGGGTGGTCGCGTTCCTCGGGGGGTCGAGCGGCTCGAACGCCCCCTCGCATTGCACCCCGTCGATCCACCGCAGCTCCTCTATGACGTCGCCCGTGTCCAGGCAGATCGTCTCGCGGGCCCTTACCAGCTTCCAGTGAGGCCCGTCGCGGTTCGAGGACTTGAGCGCCCTGGCATTTCAGTCCTGGCGCTCCTGCGCCTCCATGCCGGAGACGTCTATCCCGCCGTCGAGCATGCCCCAGTCTTCGTTTCTTTCCTCTGGAACGGCCTCCTCCTCAGCAGCCCGTCGGTCAGCCTCTCGAGCGGCCACCTCGGATCGCGCCGTCGTCGGCGCCTCTTGCATCTTAGACTTTTCCCTGAACGCCGCCTCGGTCGCCGGGGGCCCCGACGGAGTGTTCCAGCTGTCGCGCGGGAAGGTTGGCATTGAGCAGTGTCCACCGTCCGTCTCGTTCAAGCGCTTCGGCGCGATGCCGAGCTTGTCAGATTTGAACAAATCCTCCGCGCATTTGATGTCCGCGCCCATGCCCCTGAGCGCGTCCTTGCCGATGAGCAACTGCAGCGCAGAGTCCTCGATGACCGAGAAGGTCAGGCGGGCGTCGACCCCGAAGGCCGACGCCAGCACCGCCCGGCACTCCTTGGATATCTGCTTCTCGCCGTTCCCGAACCAGAACACGGCGAGCTGGGGCTCCTGCTTGATGTGCTCATCGATGCCCAGCTCCTTGCAGCGATCCTCGATCCTGTTGGCGTAGGCGTCTCTACTGTGCCGTTGCAAGACGAGCCCAGCATTCCGTCGAGCATTCCGTCATCACCATGACCACCAATGGACGCAGACGACATCAAGACCCCTTGGACCCCTCGCTCGTCGCTTGGCCCATCTGTCCATCTGGTGGCATCGGAGTCGCGACGGAAGAGTCGGGGCGCAGCCCGCGGCCGAGCCCTGGCCCATTCGCCGACCCTGCGCCATGGTCGACGAAAGAATGCGGGGCACCACTCCCGCAGCCAGGAAGCAGCCCATCCGCCGACCCTCCGCCGCCAGAAGAACGCGGGGCACAACTCCCGCAGCCGAGCGACCTCGTGGCCACGAGCACCTCGAACGTCTGCGGGATTCCTGCCTCCTCTAGCTCCTGGTCGCCTGGGTCGGCCATCTCCAGGAAATCGCGGCCGCGCGCGGCGCGGCGGACGTCGCGGTCGTCGCCCATGCATCTGCAGTCCTCGCACCGCGGCTCCACGCTCAAGTACCCGAAGTCGCGCTTGGTCACCGGTACCTCGAACGCACCCCTCTGGAAGATCGCCTCCAGCGCGTCGCGAAGCTCCTGGGTCCCCAACAGATCGACCACCATCGCGTCTCGCGGCTTGATCTTCTGCTGTAACTTCCTCTTGGCCTGCTCGGCATTCCACTCCTTGAGCCTTGGGCAACCGGGGCCGCCTGCCCGGTGGCCCTTCTCGCCGCAGGCGTGGCAGTCGGAGTTATTATTGTCGTGGTCCTTGTTGCCCCGCCGAAACTCGACGCGAACTTCGCCCCGCTGCTCGAGCTCGGGCCCGAGCCTTTGCCACTGACCCTGCCGCCGAACTTGCGGTCCTTCCGCGCCTCCTTCACGCGCTTCTTGCTCTCGCGCACCGTGATGAGGCCCTCCATCATCGATTCCGCGCCGCTCTCGAGGTCGAGCTCCTGTGTCAGCTCGGGGCCATTCTCAGCCTCTTCGAGCACCGTCGAGAGCGCCTCGAGCTCTGCGGCGAGGACCCCATCGAGGTCGTAGTCGTGCTCCGTCGTCAAGGCCTCCTCGGCAGCAGTCTCGTCGTCGGCGTCGCCATCGAAGCTGCCGAGCTCCGCGCTCAGAGCCTCCGACTCAACCTCGTCGAGCTGACTTATGCCGCCCAGGTCCTCCGTCAAATTGGCCTCCGTGAGCATCCGTATCGCCTTCTTCTTCAGCAGCTGCGTCCCTGGTCTGTTGACAGTGATCGGCTTCCGGCTGCGGCCGAAAATGCTCGGGCGGCGCTCCGTCGTGTGTAGATTCGGGAACACTCTTATGAGTGCTGGCACCACTTCGCGTATCTCCATACTGCCGCCGGTAGAGGTCATCGACATACTCTTCTGCGCGTCCGCCAAGCCGGTCTTCTCGATGAGCCACCAGCCCGCCGTTCTCGGTGGGAGGGCCAAGTCTTCTTCGCCAACTTGGCTACGCGCCTCCCCGAACCTGATTATCCACGCGTCCAAATCCTCTCCGGCCCGTCGGCGCAGCTGCTTGTAGAAATAATTCATCACCTGCCCTCGCCTGGTCGGCTCGTCTACGCCCATCGTCGCGAGCACCTCCATCAGCCTGTTGATACCCGCCATCATGTCGAACTCCTCCCAGTGCTGGCGCTCCTCTTCGGGGTTCTCGTCATCCTGCTGGGACTCTTCCGCCGCGTCGGCGTCCAGCTCCTTGTCCTGTACCCACGTCCAGGGGTTCGCACGTAGCTCGACCATCGGGATGGATTCTCCAAGCGTCTTCGCTGGGCCCGTCGAGCATCTCACCACCCGGGCAGCCCATGACCAACTCACGTCCAGGTTGATCCCTTAATTCATAACGCCACGTCCTTCTTGTATCGCCGCCACCTGCCTGGCGATCCGTCCCAAGACGGGATGCCCTCGAGGTCGCGGCTCGTCCACTGCGGCGCCTGCACCCAGCTCGTCGCGGAACGCCGCTGCCACGCCGAGCCGCCTCCACTATGCCGTGGAGGTAGCGCATCTGGGGTGAGAACTCCTCCGCCCCTTGCCGGATGCCGCCGTAGAGTCGATGAATATCTCATCGATCCCGTCGTGGTACTTGATCGTGATCACGTCCTTCTCGCTGCTGTCGTCCAGCGTTTGCTGTAGTCTCCTCGAAACTGTATGTAGCGCACTCGTTCTCTCTCTGTCGCCTGGCGCGCCAACCGGCGCTCCGCTACCACTGCGGAGCCGACGGTATCAATAGCGTCCTCCCCCTCCAGTTCTGCAGCGGGATATGGCGGCGGGCGCGCGGCAGCGCCAAGGGGACAGACGTCTTTACTCGGTCACACGCTCCTGCAACCAAATCGTCTCAAGCCGGCCACGAGCCAGAAAGCATCGGTCGAGCGAGCGAGGGGGGGATAGAGAGAAATGCACAGAGCAGGGGGGGAGTCTGGGCCTGGGAGCCGCGTTTTTCAACAGCCATCAGAAATGGACCCTGGACGCAAAGGTGCCCCCCCAAGGGATTCGGTCGAGACCTCTCGGGCGCGGGGATTGAACAAAAACAATCCGTCGGAGGTCTTGGGACGGGGGGCGCACCTGTGGGAGGATGGGCCTCCTGAGGAGGCGAAGCGGCGGGCCTCTCAAAGGGACCATCGGCTATTACCGAGAGGCTTCCCTGCAGAAGCCGAGGAGGCTTCCGAAGAGGCCTTTGTACCCTTCTCTTTGAAGATCCCTCCTCCTCGCCCCCCCTCACTCAAACATTCGGCGTTGTGTTCTTTCCTTCCTGGAGACTGGCGTTTCATCCTGGGCCGTTTTCAGACGGAGTTGGGGCCCAGCGAGGGCCCCCAGAGGCCGAAGACGGCGAAGAGCCATCCGCCTTGATTTTTAAAAGACGGTGGATGTCTGTGGGGAGACGATCGGACCTCTCTCGGTGTGCGCTCTGACCAAAGTTTCGAGGCGAATCCAGCCGCGGCGACGAGGGCCTCCCAGGAGGCCCACAACGGCCAGAACGGGGGCTCCCTGAGATCCGACGGCGCGAAAACTCGATCATGAAGAATCACGACCGAGGCCCTAAGAACTCTCCTAGACGCAATCTTCCTGCGCAAACCTCGGAGCCGGCTCGATCCGTGAGGGCCCCGGGGCGCCGAATCGGGCGACCAAAGAGCCCGGCCCGACATGATCGAGGCGCCAGGGTCTCAGGAGGAGCAGAAGAAAGAACAGGAGTGGATTCATGTACGTGTACGTCCTCCTGTCGCTGCTTAGCATTGACCCGCGCCTCTTGGGCCCCGCCCGCCTCCTCTCGCGGCGGTCCGGGGGCGGCGGGCGCCGCGGCACCCGCGGGCGCCAGCGAGGCCTCCAGCGCCCGCTGCAGGTCCTCCTCCTCGTCCTCCGCCGCGGGCGCCGCGCGCGCCGCGGGCGCCCGCTCCTCTCGGAAGGCGGGGGACCGGGCTGGGGGGGGGAAGGGAAAAGGAGAACGCCTTCTCAGAAGGCGGCGGGGCTTCTCAGAAGGCCTGGGAAACTTCCCAGAGGGCCGGGGGACTTCCGAGCATTCTGAGAAGGCCAGCCTCTTCTCACTTCCCCCCCCCCCCCGGCTCGCCGTCGACCTCTCGGAAGGCGGGGAACTGGGGGGCGGGGGCAACGATCGGGGGGTATAGGTATTTGGGGGGGGTGCATCTGCCCCCTCTCGCCCATTCATTGCCGATATGGGGCTCGAGAGCCTCACCCGCCCAGGACCCGTGCGGGCTCGCTATCGCTACCGGGGACCTATCGCCGATCTATCGGCGATGCATCGCCGACTCCACGTCGATGTTCCCCCCCGCACCCACCCTGTCTCATTCCCCCCCGATCGTTGCCCGTCGAGGGGGCGGGCCTTCTCTCGGGAGGCTCGGAGGGCCTTAAGCCTTCTGAGAAGTGGCCGGGGCCTGCTCTGGCGGCAGGGGCGGCTTCTGTCGGGCGGGAAGCATAAGGAGGGGGGGGACCTCAAGGGAGGGTGAAGAAAGGGGCCCCAAAGGGACCCTTTTGGGCCCCTGCTGGCTCCAGAAGGGGCCCCTTTCTTCACCCCCCATCTGGGTCACCCTTGCCGCTTGTGCCACCCGCCCGACCTTCTCAGGAGGCTCGGAAAGCCTCCGGCCTTCTGGAGCCAGCAGGGGCTCCAAAGGGGCCCTGAAGGGCCCCTTTCTTCACTCCCCATCCCTCCCCCTGGGCGCGCCGCCAATCCTCGCCGATGACGCGCGTGGCGATGCCTCTCCTTCGGGGTGGCTGCCAAGCCCAGGCATTCCCGGACCCACTCGCGGCCTGCAAAACTCACAATTCCGGCGTTCGGATTTGCGGTTTTTCAGCCTCGGGATGCTCTTCAGCAGCTGCGCCTCGCCGAAAGCGTTCCGGGGGTGCCCAGATCGTTCCGAACGGCCGCCAGAATGCAAATTCGGACCCGGAAGCCGTACCTCATCTCGTCGTGAAAAAATGCGACGGACGGTTTTTAGTTGTTTTCGGCCCCTCGGGGCCCTCACCCAGCCCCGAGTCCGTTGGAAAACGGCCGTCGCGATGAAAAACCAATCCTTGAGAACGGGCCATTACCTCTGGAGGTCGACGTTGAAAAAGATCACGACGCCGGAAGTCTGGGTCCAACAATTTGTCAAAATCGAAATGTCTTGTTTGGCCGTCTTCGGCGGCCTGCGGTGGCCCCGCCCGGTCTCGGGCCCGTCAGAAACGGCTCGGGATGGAGAGCCCTACAGAGCGGTGGACCCTCCCACATGATCATACATACTCGTCTCTACCGCGGACGCCGATCGATACCTTCACTATCCGTTTCCTTCTCCTCCCCCTCCCCCTCTTCCTCTTCCTCCTCCTCCTCCTCCTCCTGCTCCTCCTCCTCCTCCTCCTCCTCCTCCTCCTCCTTTTCGGAATCAGCGAAATCGCGAAAACCACCGAAAACCATCAGAAAACAAGAAAAACAAACATCAAACAACAAAGGAAACACAAACATCATTTCGGGAGAACTTTTGGGGAGAGGGGCCGGCACGGCGAGGTTCTCCCGAAATGACTCTTTGTTTCTGGACCTTTTCGCTGATTCCGAAGAGGAGGAGGAGGAGGAGGGGGAGGAGGAAGAGGGGGAGGGGGTGCCCCCTCCTCTCCGCTTCGAGGCGTTACTCACAATTCTAATTGTGAACGCAACTCCATAACTACTTCTGCGAGTAACCTCCCGTTACGAAACATGGATCACAAAACTAGTTGTCAACGCCGCTCCACAACTAGTTTTGTGAGTCATGTGTTCCTCCTCGCCTTCGTCATGCTCCTCACCCTTGTCTTCTTCCTCCTCCTGCTCCTCCTGCTCCTCCCCCCTCCTCCTCCTTCTCCTCTTCACTCAGCCCCCTCCTCTCCGCATCAAGGCGCTACTCACACATATAGTTTCAAACGCAGCTCCACAGCTAATTTTGCGAGTTACTCCCTGCTACGAAGCATTACTCACAAAACTAGTCGTGAACACCGCTCCACAACTAGTTTTGTGAATAACGTGTTCCTCCTCACCTTCGTCACGCTCCTCGCCCTCCTCTTCTTCCTCCTCCTCCTCCTCCTGCTCCTCCCCCCTCCTCCTCATGCTCCTGTTCATGCTGCCCCCTCCTCTCCGCCTCGAGGCGTTACTCACAAATCTAGTTTTGAACACAGCTCCACAACTTGATTTGCAAGTCACCTGCTGCTACGAAACATTACTCACAAAACGAATGGTGAACGCCGCTCCACAACTAGTTTTGTGAGTAATGTGTTCCTCCTCATCTTCGTCGTTCTCCTCGCCCTCCTCCACTTCCTCCTCCTCCTCCTGCTCCCCCCCCCTTCCTCCTCCTGCTCCTGCTCATTCTGCCCCCCCTCTCTGCTTCGAGGTGTTACTCACAAATCTACCTGTGAACGCAGCTCCACAACTTGATTTGCGAGTAACCGCCTGCTACGAAACATTACTCACAAAACTAGTTGTGAACGCAACTCCACAACTAGTTTTGTGAGTACTTTGTTCCTCCTGACCTTCGTCGTTCTCCTCGCCCTCCTCTTCGTTCTCCTCGCCCTCCTCCTCCTGCTGCTCCAGCTCCTCTTCTTCATTCTGCCCGCTGCTGTCAGCTTCGAGGCTTTACTCACTAATCTAGTTGTGAACGCAGCTGCACAACAAGTTTTGCGAGTAACCTCCCGTCGCCAACCATTACTCACACAAGTAGTTGTGAACGCCGCTCGACAACTAGTTTCGTGAGTAGCGTGCTCCTCCCCACCTTCGTCATGCTCCTCACCCTCATCTTCTTCCTCCTCGCCCTCCTCCTCCTGCTGCTCCTGCTCCTGTTCATTATGCCCCCTCTTCTCTGCTTCGAGGTGTTACTCACAAATCTAGCTGTGAACGCAACTCCACAACTTGATTTGCGAGTAATCGCCTGCTACGAAACATTACTCACAAAACTAGTGGTGAACGCCGCTCCACAACTAGTTTTGTGAGTAATGTGGTCCTCCACACCTTCGTCGTTCTCCTCGCCCTCCTCTTCGTTCTCCGCGCCCTCCTCCTCCTGCTCCTGCTGAGGATGGTCAGTGGTTTTCGCGTTTTCGCTGGTTCCGAAGAGGGGAAGGAGGAAGAGGAGGAGGAGGAGGAGGAGGAGGAGGATGAGGAGGAGGGGGTGCCCCCTCCTCTCCGCTTCGAGGCGTTACTCACAAATCAAATTGCGAACGCAGCTCCACAACTTGATTTGCGAGTAACCCCCCGCTACGAAACATTTATCACAAAACTAGTTGCGAACGCCGCTTCACAACTAGTTTTGTGAATAATGTGTTCCTCCTCACCTTCGTCATGCTCCTCGCCCCCCTCTTCTTCCTCCTCCTGCTCCTCCTGCTCCTCCCCCCTCCTCCTCCTTGTCTTCTTCGCTCAGCCCCCTCCTCTCCGCTTCGAGGCGTTACTCACTAATCTAGCTGTGAACGCAATTCCGCAACAAATTTTGCGAGTAACCTTCCGATACGAGGCGTTATTCACAAAACTAGTTGTGAACGCAACTCCACAACTAACTTTGTGAGTAACCTGTTCCTCTTCACCTTCGTCATGCCCCTCGCCCTGCTCTTCTGCCCCCCCCCCACCCTCCTCTGCCTCACCTGCCTCCTCCTCCTGCTGCTCCTGCTCCTGTTCATTCTGCCCGCTGCTCTCCGCTTCGAGGCGTTGCTCGCACATCCAGTTGTGGACGCAGCTCCACAAGCAGGTGCGTGAGTAATGTGTTGCGCCTCACCCTCGTCATGCTCCTCGTCCTGCTCGTCTTCCTCCTCCTTCTCCTCCTCCTGCTCCTTCTCTTCGCCCTTCATCCTGCCCCCTATCTCAAAGGACTCCGATAGAAACCCTCGACACAAAGAGACACGAGGCGGATGAGGGGGAGGAGGAGGATGAGGCGGACGAAGAGAAGGCTTCTACTGAAAGCCACCGCAGAAGGATTCCTACTGAAATCCTCATCAGCAGGGTGACACCCTTCACAGGAAGGAGAAGTAGGCGGATTAGGAGGGCGAAGGAAAATGAGGCGGATGATGAGGAGGAGGGAGAAAATCCTCCACAGAAGGATTCCTATTGAAATCCCCCATAGAAAGATCCAATTGAAATCCTCCGCACACGTATTTCTATTGAAATCCTTCACAGAAGGATTCCTACAGAAATCCTCCACATAAGGATTCGCGTTGAAACCTTTGACAACAAGGAGACTTAGGCGGATGAGAAGGGAGAGGATGAGGAAGATGAGGCCGATGAGAAGGAACAGGAGGAGGAGGAAGATGAGGCGGATGAGGATGAGGGGGAGGAGGGGGGAGAAGATCCTCAACAACAGGATTCCTAGTGATCGATTGCAACGCAATCGATTGGATTGCAATGCGCCGCGAAAGATTACAGTCGCTTCGCATTAAACTGTTTGGAATGCAACCCTTTGGCCTTCCCTCGAGTCGGTGCCAATCCCTTGGCGTGCAATGTATGTGGTAACATCGGTTTAGATTGCAATCGACTAGGTTGCGGCTGGCAACGTAGCAAAACATAATGAAGAAGAGCAGGAGGAGGGAAGGGGGAGGGAGGACTTGACGGATGAAGGGAGAATGTGTATGATCATGTGGGGGCGAGCGTATATATATATATATATGTATATACATATATATAGACTTATGTATATACGTATGTATATATAGCAGCAACTTTTGTTGTTTGTCTTCCCCCCACTGCCTATATTTTCCTAAATCTTCCAGACGACCCTCTTCTCAGGACTGGCTTTTCATCCAGAGTCGTCTGCTGACGGCCCCAGTGCCTGGAGAGAGCCCCCGGAAGCCAAAAACGGTGACACATATGTGCGCATTTGCACTTTTCCGAGGCGTTGGAGTTTCCTCCGACGTTGCGAAAAAGTGGCAACGCCTCCAGAAGTCACGACCAGAGCCTCAGACCCTATCTTTCTGTGGCGTTTCTCGAATCGGATCGATCTGTGAGGGTGCTGGCACCTGAAAGTGGGCCAAAACACTCGGTGTCAAGACATTGCAACGCCACCGCATCTCAAGGTTCTGGGCCTGGCACCACCCGGCTCCTGGCGCCAGCATGGGCCGCTGCGGGCGCCGCCAGCGGCTGGCCCTGGCCCGCCTCGATCTGCTCCTGAGGGGGCTGACAAATTACGGGGGGGTAATTGGCGATACATCGTCGATAGAGCGGCGATGGCCCCCCGACAGCGAAACCGCACGTTCCTGGGCGGGGTGGGCATCGGAGGGTGGACTTGGGGGTCCACAACAAGGTGCCCTCAATGTGCTGACTTGCCCATTCATGGCGTATGCCTCGCCCCTTGGGATGCTCTGGTCTGATTGGCATCCACTACTCGTGGGCATATTGAAGCAGGAGTGCGGCACCCAAATCCTCAGGCCCCTGTCGGCGACGAGTGGGCGATGGGGGGCCGATGCGTTCCACCCTGAGCCTGCCCCCCCTGACGTCGCCCCTGGGCTCCCGTTGCCAGCGACGGTAGTCCTCCATAGTGCCCGAATTGCGCGCCCTGGCCTCGGCCAAGCGCCGCTCCGCCGCCTCCAGCGCCGCGCGCCGGGAAGGCGGGTCCGCGGGCGCGCCAGCCGAGAAGCCGAGGACGTGGCCCTGGGGCGGGTCCGGCGCGGCGCTGGCCCGGGGCTGCGCGCCGGAGGGCCTCGATGAGGCGGTCCCGCCCCCAAAGAAGGCCTCTGCGCGCCGCTTGGCGTCCTTCATCGAGCTCCGCGCGCTCTTCACGGTGGCCTGCACCGTGGCCTTCGCCTTGACCGCCCCAGACGCCTCCCGGAGGTTCGCGGCCCGGAGAAGCCTGGGCTGGCCAGCGAAATCGACCAAGAAGCGCTCCTGCTCGGAGACGTAGGACACGATCTGCCCGACCTCCCCGTTCAGCGCCCGCGCGGCGGCGCCGCCGCTCATCGAGTGGACCTCGACCCACTGGCTCGGGCTGTAGCGCTCCTGGGGGGCGGGCAAACAGGTACCAATACCGCTACTCTCTCGACCTCTCCGAACGAAGCAAAGGTAACGGTACGTATGGGTACCTTGCCCTCCCCTGAGCTCCCCGTCGTCGTCGAGCCGGAAAGTCGGGACCAACCGCGTGCTCGGGGACTCCGAGTCGCCCGCGCGGGAGCCGGCGGGCTCGGTCTGTCCGTGCTGCTGGCAGAGGAAGGCGATCGCGGCCTCCGTGTCCTGCCCGCCAACCTGCTGCAGGGCGGCCTCCGCCTGTGGCCTGGGGAACCCCATGGCGCAGAGCTGCGCCAAGCTCTCTGGGTCCGCCCTAGCCTGCCCGTGCCTCGTCGGCGGGTCCGAGCCCATGGCAGACTTCGCGGCATCCACCCCCTGCTTCACGGCCGCGCTGGCCGCGGCGGATGCCTTCTGTGCCTTCCAGGGCGGAGAGATCTATGCACCACAGCTCTTCGCCTGCCAGACGAGGCGCGTAGATTTTTCGAGCTCCTAATAAGTTGTCAGGAATCTACGCATCTCCTCAGCCTCGAGGAGGTGCGGTGCAGAGATTGCTGTCGCCGACCTTCTGTTTGAATGTCTCGATCATGACGCTTACACTCCAAGATGCAACAACATAAACTCGCGCGGCGCAAACTCGCACGGAAATCAACCTCTGCTTTGAGCCGGAAGAAGGGGTGGCGGCGGCTGCTCTGTGCGGAACTTCGGAGCAGAACAGAAATTGGGAATGCGATGGACAGATGTACGCCGAGAACCCACGCTCAGTCTGGGTGCGGGCGCCAGCGGGTGCTTCCAATCGCGCCAGTGTCAGTGCTCGTGTTGCGAGCGTCTCCAGCTTGGAAGGCTCGGTGCGAAACACGTGCTTGCTGATGCAAACATCGCATTCAGCCCTGCACCGCAGTGGTCCTCACGTGGCTTGTGGCGGTCGTGCCCATGGCAATACTCGCCGTCACGCTCGTCGATGGTCGGCAGCCAGCGAGTGCGGCAAGGCACGCCACCTCTATGATAATGAACGATCGGAGAACTACTTCTTTACCATTGGGTCGCATCGGACGGCCTGCACCTCATCGATGGGGTCAGACAAATCAGGCACTGATCGACGCGCCACCCACGAAATTCGTCTGCTGTCACTGCTGCCACCGTGAGACAACAGCTCCTGCCATGAAGAGATCGTCGCATGGCCAGGAAGCCAATGAGCTGGAGAAGAACACGCGATGACCTATCAAACGTCCTACACGGACCAAATCCCACCGGCCCTTTGGGTACATCTGTGTCCGAGGATCAGATCTTCCAGCAATTCGCCGGCCCAACGGGCCAAGGGCGTGCTAAAATCGCCGGTGACTGGTTAGACATATTCTAGTTCGCGCGCGCGGGGCCGCCCCTGGGGTCCCTCGACGAAAAATACCCCCGCAAGTCCCGGCAAGGTCCCGACAAAATCCCGGGCAGGTCCCAGGCAGGTCCCAGCAGGCTCCCAAAAGCGTTCCAGGAGCGCTTCAAGTGGTCTGCAAGAGAGCTCAACATGGCCCGAGACGGCCCAAGAGCGATCCAAGACGCCAAAGATGGCCTCCAGACAGCCCAAAGCGCCTGCAAGACGCCCCCAGAGGCCTCCAAGAGACCTCCCAAGAGGCTCCACAGAGGCAGAAATTAGTGTTTTTTTGCATCGGAGGTGAGGGGGTGAGATCGAAGTGGAACGGAGAGTCCCCTTACCGGGAAATCGATTTCGGTTTCGTGTTCGTGCGTGCCGTGCGTGCGGGCGAGGCGAAGCTGCGTGGGCGGGCGAGAGGAAAGTCTCCTGTGGCTGAGGCGCGGCCGGACCAAATGATTCCCTTCCGGGCGGCCGGGGCCCCGCGGTGTCCCGCCGGTGTCCCGCTGGTGTCCCGTGTGGCTGAGGCGCGGCCGGACCAAATGTCTCCCTTCCGGGCGGCCGGGGCCCCGCGGTGTCCCGCCGGTGTCCCGTCGGTGTCCCGATTATGATGATGATTTGATGATGATGATGATGATGATGGTGATGATGATGACGATGTTGATGTTTTATTTTGATGATCGATAGTGAGATCGGTAGTGATATCGATTGTGAGATCGAACGTGAGATCGAATGTCAGATCGCTTGTGAGATCGATTGTGAGATCGATTGTGAGACCGAATGTGAGATCGATAATGAGATCGATAGTGAGATCGATTGTGAGACCGAATGGGATATCGATTGTGAGATCGATTGTGATATCGATAGTGAGATCGATAGTGAGACCGAATGTGAGATCGATTGTGGAATCTATTGTGAGATCGATAGTCAGATCGATTGTGAGATCGATCGATTGAGTTAGTAGTGAGATCACTATCGGTAATGAGATCGGTAGTGATTTCGATAGTGAGATCGATGATGAGACCGAATGTGGGATCGGTTGTGAGTTCGGTTGTGATATCGATAGTGAGATCGATAATGAGATCGAAAGTGAGTTCGATTGAGAGATCGATAGTGAGGCCGAATGCGAGATCGATTGTGAGATCGATTGTGATATCGATAGTGAGATCGATAGTAAGACCGAATGTGAGATCGATAATGAGATCGATAGTGAGTTTTATCGTGAGATCGATAGTCAGATCGAATGCGAGATTGATTGTGATATCGATTGCGAGATCAATAGCGAGACCGAATTTGAGATCGATTGTGGGATCGATTGTGAGATTGATTGTGAGATCGATAGTCAGATCGATTGTGAGACCTATCGATTGAGATCGATTGTGAGATCGGTAGTGAATTCGATAGTGAGATCGATCGAGTGCGACGTTGTTCCCCCCCCCCCCCTCACCTCCTTATCACCCGAAGGGTGGTCTATGCGGTAAGTTGTTTAAGGTTTTTGGAGTTCTCGCCTTGGAGGCTTCCCGGCGCTCCAAAACGGCCCAAGAGGCTTCCAGGATCGCCCCAAAATAGACCAAGTGGTCTCCAAGAGCACTCAAAACGGTCCCAGAGGGCCCCAAGACAGCCCCAGAGGCTTCCAAGATGGCCGAAGAGGCTCCCAAAACAGCTCCAAGAGCGGACCGAGGGAACCTAACGGACATGTCGAGCTCTAGGCGCAGAGAGGTTCCCTGGAAGCCCGAAGAGGACCTTAAGAATCCTCCAAGATGCCCCTGAGAGGCCCCAAGAGACCCCCAAGAGGCCCCAAGAGACCTCCCAAGAGGCTCCACAGAGGCAGATCGGAAGTGAGGGGGTGAGATCGAAGTGGAACGGAGAGCCCCCCTACCGGGAAATCGATTTCGGTTTCGTGTTCGTGCGTGCCGTGCGTGCGGGCGAGGCGAAGCTGCGTGGGCGGGCGAGAGAAAGTCTCCTGTGGCTGAAGCGCGGCCGGACCAAATGATTCCCTTCCGGGCGGCCGGGGCCCCGCGGTGTCCCGCCGGTGTCCCGCTGGTGTCCCGTGTGGCTGAAGCGCGGCCGGACCAAATGTCTCCCTTCCGGGCGGCCGGGGCCCCGCGGTGTCCCGCCGGTGTCCCGCTGGTGTCCCGTGTGGCTGAGGCGCGGCCGGACGAAATGATTCCCTTCCGGGCGGCCGGGGCCCCGCGGTGTCCCGCCGGTGTCCCGCTGGACGATGTTGATGTTTTGTTTTGATGATCGATAGTGAGATCGGTAGTGATATCGATTGTGAGATCGAACGTGAGATCGAATGTCAGATCGCTTGTGAGATCGATTGTGAGATCGATTGTGATACCGAATGTGAGATCGATAATGAGATCGATAGTGAGATCGATTGTGAGACCGAATGGGATATCGATTGTGAGATCGATTGTGATATCGATAGTGAGATCGATAGTGAGACCGAATGTGAGATCGATTGTGGATTCTATTGTGAGATCGATAGTCAGATCGATTGTGAGATCGATCGATTGAGTTAGTAGTGAGATCACTATCGGTAATGAGATCGGTAGTGATTTCGATAGTGAGATCGATGATGAGACCGAATGTGAGATCGATTGTGAGTTCGGTTGTGATATCGATAGTGAGATCGATAGTGAGATCGATAATGAGATCGAAAGTGAGTTCGATAGAGAGATCGATAGTGAGGCCGAATGCGAGATCGATTGTGAGATCGATTGTGATATCGATAGTGAGATCGATAGTGAGACCGAATGTGAGATCGATAATGAGATCGATAGTGAGTTTGATAGTGAGATCGATAGTCAGATCGAATGCGAGATCGATTGTGATATCGATTGTGAGATCAATAGCGAGACCGAATGTGAGATCGATTGTAGGATCGATTGTGAGATTGATTGTGAGATCGATAGTCAGATCGATTGTGAGATCTATCGATTGAGATCGATTGTGAGATCGGTAGTGAGTTCGATAGTGAGATCAATCGAGTGCGACGTTGGTCCCTCCCCCCCCTCACCTCCTTATCACCCGAAGGGTGGTCTATGCGGTATTATTGATTTCCCTTTATGTTTGAAGGTTTTTGGAGTTCTCGCCCTGGGGGCTTCCCGGCGCTCCAAGACGGCCCAACAGGCTTCCAGGATCGCCCCAACACGGTCCAAGAGGCCTCCAAGAGAGCCCACAACTGCCCAAGAGGGCCCCACGACAGCCCCAGAGGCCTCCAAGATGTCGGAAGAGGCTCCAAACACGGCTCCAAGAGCGGACCCAGACGAGGGACCCGAGCGGACATTTCGAGCTCCAGGCGCAGAGAGGTTCCCTGGAGGCCCCAAGAGGCCCCGCGAGAGACCCCCAAGAGGACTCAAGAGACCTCCGAAGAGGCTCCACAGATGCAGAAATTAGCGATGTTCCTTTAATGCTTAAAAGTTTCTGGCGTTCTCGTCTCGGGGGCTTGCCGGCGCTCCAAGACGGTCCAAGAGGCTTCCAGAATCGCCCCAAAATACTCCAAAAGGCCTCCAAAAGCGCTCAAAACGGCCCCAGAGGGCTCCAAGACAGCCCCAGAGGCCTCCAAGATGGCAGAAGAGGCTCCAAAGACGGCTCCAAGAGCGACCCAGACGAAGCACCCTAACGGACATATCGAGCTCCAGGCGCCCAAAGAGCAAGAGGCCCCCGTACCCCCTGTGTCAGGCCCCAAGAGGCCCCCAAAAAGCCCCCAAGATGCCCCCGAGAGGCCCAAAGAGACCCTCAAGAGGCCCCCGTACCGCCCTAGGAGGTGTCAGACATACCGCCAAGAGGCCCAAAAAGAGACCTCCTATCGTTTCACCAACCCTTTCTTCTTTCTGCCCTCTCCTCCTTCTCTGCGTCAACGACCCTTGGCAAAACTCATAACAATCCATGAATGCAATTAACCAATCGGAACTTGCTCGCGAATCTCAAATGGCGCAATAACGCGAACACCCTTACCATGCAGATCCATTACTCGGGCGGGGGAGTGATGGTGGTGACGACGTCGGCGACGGTGACGAAAATGATGGTGATGATTGCGATCATGGCGAAGGCTACGACATCGACGATAAAGATGATGACGACGGTGGTGATGATGACGACGGTGATGGTGATGATTTTGAATGCAATGATGAGGCATGTGATGATGATGACAATGGTGCTGATGAGGATGCTCAGGAGGTGCGCGCGCGAAAACTTTCAGATATCAAATCGTTCCCCAAACAGAGCACTTAGAGGTTCAAACTTCTGGTCTAAGGAACTGGGCCTGTCTGTCGGTCTGGCGGCTATGTTGTCGCCG